ATATATATATCAGCGCATTCCAGTAGCCATCCAGGTGTTTTAAATAAACTGAGTGAATTCTCTGGATACTCAAGAATTGAACTTCATGACCTCTGACCGCTGCATTCTGGCTACAATACGTTGGATCATGTCGTTCTGCTCATGTGCGGATACACGTCTATGTATGCATGCATGTATATATGCACCACACAAACAGTCAATTTACGGAAAAGTCGATAGAAGAACACGGCAAGACAAACGCTGTCTCAGAGAGATGATCGGTTCCACGTCGGCACGGCGTCCAAACAGTAAAACGCACTGTCAGCAGATTCCAAACCAAGCCGGTGAACATTGAGAATTGTCAGGCTACATTCCACTCATACAATTCACCTGTAATGCACAATGTCTTGAAAGTAAAAATTAGCCCACCTGTCGACCGTCACTTAACAACTACAATAAGGTTGCACAGCTAGGTTTCGATCGCCAGAAGCTTCATTCAATGGAGAAGAACGATGTCCGGTTTGGATAGTATTATACTGATTATTGTGGCCAAAGACAGCCCCACAATAGGCGCTATGGTAGCGCAAGCGAAAAGCTGCTTTATGCAACGATGGATTTCGTTTCCACTGCTTCTGAAATTACTGCGTAGTACTTGAAGAGAGGGGTGCGTATCCTGGTTGAATGTATATGTGAAGACAATAACCTAGCGCGTTAATTTCTTTGATATTATCATCCAGTAGGTCATCGTTGACTGTGTTATGGTTGGCTAACAGATGCCATTTTGATCGAAACCATAGGTGTGCTAGAAACGAAAAAATAGTGCAGCGAAAAGAAAGTGCGGAATCGAAGGTCCACATGGTTCACCGGCAGTCACAAAGAATAGCACAAGTGAGTTCACATGATAATTGATCGCATAGAGACTGCGATTTATTTTGCTACGTGTGATCGTACGCACTTAAATGTACAGAATGAAACGATAAAATAACACACAAGACACCATATCGTTTGCCAGGCCTCACCTCAAAATTTACATAGTACTGCAACTGCTGAACACAGTGACGCAGCTCGGCTCCCAAAAGTTCCGACAGGTGTAAAACTGGTCCCAAGTCCATATTGAGATCATGTTCCATTCGTGACGCAATTAGCTGTTGTTTCCACATATTGCTCAAGGTGAATTCCATCCGCTTCGCCCTCCATAGGAAATTGAACGACCGCAGATACATGAGTCGGCAGTCGTCTGTGAAGATGGTACCCAGCGGACCGTCTACGTGATAGTCTAGGGAAAAAACGTCCCAGCCGGTATCAGCTGAAACAAAGAGTGTTGTGGGATACAGACGTAGATTAAGCGGATTTTTCGGAATAATGAAAACACGTTGTTGGACAGGAGTGAGTTTTAAAAGAGAAGACTGACGAGAGCCGTAGCTATCATAGACGCTTTTGTGCGATAGCAAAGGTCGTCGGTTAAATACAGCTCGCTGCGTCCAACTAAGGAGTGTTCGTATGGAAGCGGAACACAACTGGTGGTATAATCACCAAGTTTCGACGAGCCATACACATGGTGGTTAAGAACGGGTTGGTGAAGGAACAATGTGCCTCGTAGATCCAGATCACAAGGGACGATTCGTACTGTTTGGAAGTGCATGTTAGGTAGCTACCCACAAGCCTTACGGACGTGTAATGCTATCAAGCTGAAGAGAGCTCTAGAAAGTGAAGAGGCTGAGAAGCGAACAACCAGGGGAAAGCTGAGGGTTTCAGGCATATCCCACCATCTCAAATGCCCGCTTTAATGTAATGAGAGAGTACCATGGCCCTCGTGTTGCACTCAAGTTTCATGGCAGTTTTGCACTGAAGGGAATTCACGACGGGATAAGATTATCTTCTCAAAAAAACTACATCTGTAGAGAGTTGAAGAAAAGTATTCTTAATAAGCCACGAACCAGTGTGCGATCCCCGAGGAAAGTCGCCTCCCCCAACAGAGACCCCTGGGTGGCTACTATACTAGCTCTTGATTTCGCACAAAGTTTAGGAAGTAAACGATGTCGCGAGATAACGAAACAACATATGAAGGCAACTCTAAGTCATAACTTCAATTCATGCGGATCGCAAAAGCCCCAGCGGTCTTTATTTGAACCTTGCCTAAATGAACCAACTAAAACGAGCAACAACTATATTCATTTCGCGAAATGCACTCATTTGCAGACAAATTTGGTTTTGCGAGAGAATTATCATCAGCCTTATGAGTGGTATATTAGGTCTATACGTGTATCGCGATATCTCGAATATCGTACCAACTGAAACATGAGGCGGTCTGGTACAGCACATTCAGTTGCTTAAAACATCATAAACGAGATATTCAGCTGGTGAGTTCCAGGTGAGTCTCTCACAAAACCGAATTAGTTTGTAAATGAGTGTATATTCGCTAATTTCGTACAATTCGGTTTCAGGTAGAGCATAAGGTTGACGAAAACTCGGGGACTGCCCCTACATGATGAGCCCCATGAAGCGCGAAACCGATCGTGTGATGTCGAATAATTTTCAGCAGCCTTACAAGTAATGTATTGCGCCTATATATCTGTTTCTATTTTTGGTGAAATAGAGAGCACACAAAGGCTATGGCGAATGGGAACTCAGAATTGTCATCTAAGAACACTTAAACGTACCAGGTGATGCATCCAAAAGTCGCACACCTAAACGTTGCAAAACTTCTGGTTGTTCATACTGCGCATTCGTTGCACGTATTGCCGTTTCCAAAATACTTGTGAGCCGGTGGGTAAGCAACTGCGTTGCTGGTTTGTTCAAGGCAGCACTGAAAACGAAGATGACAAAGGATCACGTGAGAAGATTAAAGTGACGAGATGAATACATCCTGAATATTGCGGATTAAAATCCACCATCGAAGAGTAACAGTGCAAACCCCTACGCGGTTCACACGGTTTAAGACGAAACGAAGAAGAGTCACCAGAAAAATAAAAGCAACCAATCATTTCATTAGCAGAACGACAATCATAACCACCAGCACGATGGCAGTGTTTTTAAAACTTGTAATTCCCTAATCTTCATCCGAGAAAAGCTCTGTCTGACTGGTCTTTTTATCCACTTAAGTGGACTTCACCTTATTTTCCACCGAAAAAGAAACAGGGTTACCACTGAATGGTTTGAAACAACTACAACTCCCGATTATAAACGTCATACCACTGTGTCATGGAGCAGCCATGTATTCAAGCCTGGATTTATGAACGTTACATCAACAGGGCACCAGTATGTACAGAGATATAAACTTAAGTGCTTTTGCTTCTTACTAAATCGTAAAGTATCCCCCTTGTCAGAAAGATCGACTAGAGCGCCATTCAAGATAAGGCAGCCCGGGCTTTGCACCACTGGAGTCAACGAGTGGTTATCAATCAGTTTTTGATGGTTGTGTTGTGTTGAATGCCAACAACACCTGACTGCTTGCATGCGAATGCCCAAAAAAAACATCGTTCAGCAGCTACGGATCCTATTGTATAAAAAATGTGTAGATTTTACAGGTACGATGCTATGCATCGCAGCCAGAACCTGGAAACTCAGAAAGGGGACTAGAAGGTCGTAAACGACGAAGGAACGCCTGGAAGTGGAAGTAAACCTTACGAAGGTGAGTTTCCGGCGAGCAGCTCATCAACTCAGTCGCATAAAAACTGAACCATCATATAAACAGTTTGGAATTATTCAGGCGAAAATGCTTACTCTAGTAGATCCATTAAGTGTGTGATGAAATCACCTTGACCGAGAAGAAGGAACTGTCGCGTAGCCTGAAAGGCAGAGAGTAAGTAGTGGGTTGAGATGAATGGCCGAATTTGGAAATCAGACAGCATGTGTGAGAATTATACGTGTGAAGAAACTGGACAGCAACGAATTCGCCAGCGCTTGGCATGACATAGAATACAAATCCACCGGTCAAATGGGCTATCTCAGATTAAATCAATTCCTTGTTCAAAGCTCGCATTGTAAACTTGAAATTAACTACTTTTAACTAATCTATCACACGACAGACCCGTCTGAAAAGCATCCTCGATGGAGAATCATCGGTCATGGAATGTGCCATCTGGAAATGAACGTCTCATTTCCAGTGAACTACAGTTTGGTGTTCATCATATAAGGCTTTAGTATCGTGGAAAAATCATTACACTGTCCACGAATATCCCAGTTCAAGAATAACATTAATGTGTAGGTGAGAAAACGGAACACAACGCGAGTGAACTACAGTTTGGTGTTCATCATATAGGGCTTTAGCATCGTGGAAAAATCATTACACTGTCCATGAATATCCCAGTTCAAGAATGACATTAATGTGTAGGTGAGAAAAACGGAACACAACAAATCAACGCACACCGTCCACGGAAATAAGGTTGTACCGGCAGTACACCACGTGGTTACTTAGATATATTGCTTTTCGCAGGTTTCCAATGTGAATGGAGCCGGATTGTAGGCTGAGGTTTTAGCACCTGACGCGGCGCTATCTGACACCCTGTCCGATTAAACGGCTGGCTTTTTTTTCAATGAATGGCGGTACTGCACTAGTGTAGGTGCTCAAATGGAGATGAGAGCATGGGGTTACCATAAGCGTCATTTCCGAGAGGGTCCCCTTTGCCCTTGTCCCAAATTGAGCAACCTGTCGGCATTCCAACCACGTCGCTACGTACGCTGTGGATGCCAACAAGAAGCCGGAGCTCACATTTGCCTCCTTTTTTGTGAGAGGTAACCCAGTTCTAGGGGCAAAAAAGGGATTAAATTACGTAAACACGAATATGGCGCGGAATTTAAAATAATAAAGACTCAAAAGAGGCAATAGAATAGTGGTTTGGTGTTCCACATCCAGTCCTATGCACTAATAAGTGACCTTCAGTTGAGTGGTTGATTGAGTACGGCATATTCCGTAGAAAAATTCTGCCAAGATTTAAGGGGCTGGTAAGAAAGCAGTTGTTACCATTCCGCAAAACTCTATAGCGTCGCATTATTCTACGAAAATAATTCTGTCGAGGAATAAGTGCTCGTCTTCTAGCTCTGCGCTGAAGACAACAAGAATCACGTCATAGCTGTGGATTTTGGCGTTTGTTTTCAGAGCGCGTATACTGGTTTCAGCGCTCATAGAAGATTACTAAATGTCTCGGCAACCTGGCGAAAAAGATCACTTAGACAACCCGGAATTAAGCCCTTCCCCAACAGTCACTCGGGACTTTGCAGCCGTTCAGATTGTGTATTTGTCGTTTCGTACGTAAACAAATGTGTCGGATAGGGATTGTGCACTTTTCCTCTTTAATGTGGAAGTATCTGCATGACTTACGCGTAAGTGAGCCACGAAATGGTACCGTTCGATTAGTGTGTCCAGAAGATAGCGACTCGTTTGACGGTAGACAGTCACAACCATTTTGTCGAACGAAGAATCAAAGTCCTGCTCATACACAGCTTCAACTACAAATGGAAATTGGGTGGATAGAAACCAACAATTACTGGAGAACTGGGGGAGGGCAAATACTCCGACCTCAGAGAATAGATATGGTTTACCAAACTAATATCTGTCAACCCGGACAAAACAGTACTGTTATATCAGAAACAAAGTGTTTTTGCACACATTCGAGGGGTAAAAGATATAGGCCTTATGGACATAATACAAGCAGAGTCCGAAGTGGATCCTGATGTTGAACCACTCAACGGGCAGCAAACTGACATAGAGCGATGCATTGGAGGTGAAAATAATCATGGCCTATAGTGTGTGCATACCTCGCTTGAGACGAGACGCACGAATAGCTTCGCGGTTCTTAATGCTTCCCTTCTCTCCACAGGCTTGTTGAAGGAAGCTGATTGACTTTCCAGCCAGCAGTATCTGCAAAACGAGCGAAAAAACACGCGAATTCAAATTTTAGACAAATGTGCTGGAAACGAGTACAGTCTCAAGCACTGGGTTCGTGAATTTCAGAATACAAGCAGCTAATATAACCCGTAAGTGCAAAGCGGTCAGTTTTCTTGTCATAGCTAGCGAGCCAGTCGATGAATTGAAAGTCGCGAGGTTCGGTGAAAATAAGTACGTAGCTTTCAGACACATTCAGGATAACGCCAAAACTAAGTACTTGTTCGGTATCCTAGTCAAGCAAGCGAAATGAAATTGAATGGATGGAAACGAAGGGAGAACTGATAAATTGATATGTGCTGTCGGTGAATGGTAGACGGATAAAAATTTTCAAACGAGGTGCCTTCCATTAGTTTTGTAATTCAAGGTAATAGATGGACGGGAAAAGGCGAGTAACACCAGGATGACAACCAATATGACAATGTAGCACTAATACATACCGTATAGTATACTATTAAAATTAAAATTCGGCCCGAGAACTTTACCATCAAGCAAAGGTAGCTGACGGTTACCTATTGCATGTGTCCCGTGTTAGAAGATCAACCCCCCCCCCACGCACACACACACACACTCTCCGACCTCTACCTTTAGCAGCTGACCAAGTTGGACATCAACAGTTTCCACATGCGTATACTCTCCAATATAGACTTAGAGGATTTTATGCGGTACAGACACCCTTAAGCCAATATAAAGTCCATTCTGGGAGACCGATTTATTTCAAAGCCATCACAGTGTATCTCCCCGCACACTGAAGGCCTATAAAATGAAACCGCAGTCTAGAAAACATCGACTGCCTACACTCGGATTATCACTGGCTACATATGGCTTTGGAACATCAGGTAGGGTCAAAAAAGCGAAAGATGAGTGTAGGAAATACTGGTGCACGTACTTTATTGGCTTGTGCGTGCGTGATAAAGCTGGGAACCATTTGGCGTCGGATGCTGTATTTATCGTGCCATAGACGTTCTTTCTTCACTGACGGATTGCAGGCCACAAAAAATTCCTGGTAAGGATCATCTAATTGACCGTCGTAGATCCACAGACTGATGAGGTGTAGTAACGTCGACGCCAGGTTTTTCAGAATGTTGCGGAGCATTTTAGAAACCTCAGGGTCTCCGTGTCGAGTGTAAGCATAGACTTCTGATGCCAAGGCACCACCTCGCTTTCCCTGGCAAACATCGCACAAGCTTGCCAGAAAACGGAGACGAAACCTAGGCTCCTGTGTCCACAGGGCTAGTCGGGTAATTGTGAGATTTTGATCTGTAGACATGGCATCACTGGTTAGGTCACCGACACCCTCGGTGCGAAAGCCGCCAATGTCGGAACGATCGTCAAGTGTCCTTGAACTACTGGGACATGCAGATGCTCCTCGTGCTTCTCGACCCAACTGACTCTAGAAGAAATAGGTGGAAATGGGTAGTCATCGGATAAGTTTGGCTGGAAAATACGAGTAACGGATATGACCAGTCGAATTCACACCTAAACAAGGGGCTACACTGTGAGCATACGGAATCCTAAAACATCGCCGGTCGGAAAGCTAACCTAGATCGTCAGCGGAAAAAAGGTTTGGCATACGCACCACAAGCTGGCATTCGCTTTCTGATTGGATGGCTGTGACCTTGAACAAAGTCACACACAAGCTGCCTTTTTTCGTTAGCTGAATGGGCAGGCATCCTGCTAACTATATCGCGAATGACTACGAAGACGATTTGCTTGACGATCGTACAGAGACCTGTCTGCTTAAACATAAAACTGACCACATCCATACATTACTGACCACGCCCAAATGTGAACCGATTACAGATATATAATAGGACGACCTAGCACGACTGCCAGTGTCGTAAAACAGAGAAAAATGATCGTGTGATTGTCGAATCAGCTCCAATGTTACAGCTGACTAAAACTCATAACTTTAGCTCGAGACTAGTTGCTCATCACTGGGATACGCAACTTGATTTCTTATCAACATGCATTTACTATCAACGCAGTAAGGTCTTTCAACTGCAGATTTGTGTTTAAAGACTTTTCGGCACTTGCCAACGGGCAAGCAACACAATTTTTCCTCAACATCGTCCTCTCAGACCAAGCAACCCACAAAACACTGATCTATTCGATGCTGTATATAATTTCTTACTGTTACTCAACAGCCTTAACCTATGAATGAGACGACGGAGTCAGATACCTAACAAGCGTATCAACACAAAGGGAGAGTAAGCAAGGTTTGTTTTGAAGAATAGCTGGTATTTGGTTCAAAGGAAATACGTGCCGTCTAAGGTGCACTTGCTACTTAACCTATGATAATAATAAATAATAAGCATTCCGCTGCAATACCCTTTCGGTGCCTAGCTGCGATGCCACCCGAAGAAGGAACACTTGACGTTCTCAGTGATATACAAATGGTCATCATGACCGACCCTTTGATTCAGCTTACGAGCCATATCAACAAATTCCAAACGGCCGTCCCATAAATTCCAAGTTTGTCACGCAGGTAAGGCATAGCATGAAACGAGAAGGGGAAAATATTCACTTGAATTATGCCATCGACAAACGGTCTTTGAATAACCAGCCAGAAACCAATTCTAAGGTCTGTTGTTACCGATTCGCCCTTATCACTTAGAAAACATGATTAGGCGGATGCTGACGTTAGGTCTCAAAGAAGCGAAAAACTTCTCGGAAAGCTGGTGACAAGTTGCTCTGTTGGCTTTCAGCCTTCCTGTGCGCGTCTCTTACAGCCAAAGGGGTTATCGAAATTGTTGTGGACATATGACGGGAGGTAACGCATGCTGACCGCTACTTTGTCAAATACATCTAATATTTGTAGTGATTAGGTGTATTCGTTCAGATAGAGCACCCTTTCAGTGTCTAATTGCCATACCATTCAGATAAAGCACGAGGGCTGGGATATTTGCAGGTTGCCCAAGCCTGAATAGGGGAAGTCGAGAGGTAGAAGTCAAACCACGGACCTTCCAGTCAGTAAATTCGTGCTTTAACCACTGAGCCATCTCGCCCCATTAGATGTATTGTTAAGGGAACATAACAGTCCAGTTTAGTCGTTCAACATGCATTGAGTGACACACTAGAATCAGCACCACTCGATATTCTGCTATTGAGGTTATGTACCTCAGAAGACACCATCCCCTTGTAGAAACTACTTCCAGGTGCTCCCTCAAAGCGTACTTCAACACCTAGAAATAATCAACTTGCAAGAAGCTGACTCTGATTGGTCCCAGAGGGCATAATTCCGATTTGTATATCCGAGTAAACTCTGAAAATAAACATGGAAAAACTCTTCGGAAGGAGACGTTTTGATCATTCATTGACGCGATGCATTAGCAAAGGGTTTGCATTTAGAAAGAAACATATAAATATCGAAAACCCAGTATGCAGCGCACTTTGTCGGTTGGTTGCATAGTGTTCATGTGACCTACGGTGAACTAACTTGTTCGTTAATCCTTCCAAGTTAGTCATCCATAGAAAACGTTTGTGGGCACGTTATGTCGTTTTCTCTAATGACCAAGTGGGAAAAGTACTTCATATCTGAGCCACCTATACAGATCACTCTTGATCACTGGTAAACAAGCAGCTGGTCTAAATCCGCTCTCCACACACTCACTAGTTCTCTGCCCTCCGTTCACACTACAAAACATCGATTTGCATAGCCTCCTCCATCGGCCACTGTGGCGTACACAGCAATCTCCAGCAAAAACCCCAACATTCGCTAAATCTAGTTTGTACCCAGTGTTCAGTGAATGCTATGCAATTGCTGTCTTTGAAAAGCGCTCGATGTTCACCTGAGCTTCTTGGTGGTCCGTTTGTCTTTTCTCTTGATCCCACTGAGCCTCGCACGAAATTTCCTAGCCATCTATCTTACGTAGTTGTTGCGTTTGATTTCGTATAGACAGTTCCTGATTTCATCCACCAGAAAACCGCCCATCAGCTGCAACAGTCATCATGATCATCATCAATGACAGCAACATCAGTGTTGGCACTGATGCTTCACTGCCACACAACCATAAAGTTCGTTTAGTTATATATATATATATATATATATATATATATATATA